TATGCCCCCCGCTGAGGGGTGGGTAAAGTTGGGCTGAACTGGACCCGGCGCTGCGTGTCCATTCTCTTTAGGTGAAACAGGACTCGCACTGTGTGAGTGGACTCCTCGTACATCTGTCATGCTGTCTCCAGACATGTCGCAGTCCGTCCTCCTCACACTGTTCAAATGAGGGGCAGGCTGGGTGACGCTGTCCTGTTTTCACGTCGGCTCACCTGCGCCCCGGCCCATAGCCTTCCGAACAACCGTTTGCATTGACTGCTTCAGTTTCCACAACGACTCAAAGGAAAAGCATTCCCTCAGTGAAGACAGACAGCTGACCGTGTCCCCCTGCACAGCCCTTCCCGCTCCGCCTCAGCACATCTGAAAATAATCATTTCTGAACACGCTGGAGGATCATGCACTACACACGCTCCCTGTGCTGACCGTAGCCTGAAGCTTAGAAATGACTAATGGCGCCATCTGGTGTCCAATAGCGGGAAGCACAACTTGTTATTGTTACTATAAGGATTACGGTAAAGACTTGTAGTTTTAAAATACATATTCGTTAATTGTACAAGCAGACTATGAGGGACAAAAAATGACTAAAGTATAAATAAATAAATAAATGTTGGGAGAAATGCATACAATAATGTATAAATCAATAAATAATTAAATAAATGCATCAATAAATATATAAATAAATATATTCATATATTTATTTATGTATTTCTGTGTCCATGTTGTTCAAGGAAAAGTAAATATGTAAATTAAGTGGGCCGTCCTAACATTACTGAAGTAGGATTGGTCAATTTTGAAAAACAGTCAGAAGCAAATTTCCATAAATACTTTTCCTCTTACGACCTGGACACAGAAATAAATAAATGTGTAAATGTAAAAATACGGAAATAAATTAATAACTCAATTAATGTGGAAATGTATGCATTGATACAGATATAACTGTAGAAATAAGCTAATAAATGAATAAATACATGTAAAAATATATAAATAGACTTTTTCATTAACAAATTATATTTATTATTTATTCATTGATGTATTGTTTTCAGCATTTATATATTTATTTATATATTTATTGATGCATTTATTTAATTATTTATTTATTTAAACATTATTATATGCATTTTTCCCAACATTTATTTATTTCTACTTTAGTCATTTTTTGTCCCTCATAGCAGACAATGTATGAAACTGTTAAACAAAAAGAGCACTCTATGTCAGAGCCGTTATAATAGGGTTAAAGTGAGTTTCCTGAAGTAAAAATCCCATTCATTTCCTCCTTAGCGGATTTGATTATAAGCCAAAACGTCATCACCATCACAGGTAGACTGACCACGAGCTACCTGCGTGTGAAACGATGGTTTCTGCTCCTGAAGAAGACAGGTAGAACCTTGTTTTAAGAGAAACCTGGTTTATTTTCTGATATCGGAACTACACTACCCAGGAACATGGAGTGTAACAGTGACGTTTCTGATTGGTGGAGCTCGCAGTTACCATGGCAATGTTTCTTTCCCCTCGGCGCGGGAGAGTTTCGTTAGCAGGCTAGCTAGTTAGTTAGCTAACACGAAATGTACTAATAACCTTGATATGTAAAAGAGATATTCTCACATCATAAACCACAAGATATAACAACACTTTCAACAGTATAAACACTGTAAAAACGACTAAAGTTACATTTATGAAGAATTGGAATCGCAATGGATTGTGGGATGGGTAGTTCTTTGATTCCAGAAACATAACAGACTTGTACCTTTGCCTGTTTCTCCGTTTTTAAAGCCGATTTTACGCCGAATCAAATGTTTTATAGTCACGAGTATTGTGGTGGCAGCTTGTGTTTGTTTCAGGCTTCAATCTTTTAAAAATGAGGATTTTGTAAAATGTCAAAGGAGGATTTGAACGGGGAAGTCTACTTCAAAGAACCCCTGCCGGAAAATGGGCACGCGAGTGTGATGATGAGCACAGAGAAATCGATCAACAGATGAGAATAAATATCAACATTAAAACCCCAAACAAAAACAAACATTGATTTCGAGTGTGGCTGGAACAATATTTAAACGCGACGTTTGAGGGCATCAAAAAATGATTAAAAACTTAATCAAAACTTAGAAAGAGTGTCAACAACAGACTCTAATAGGTTATTAGGCTTATACTGTTCAGAGGAGCTGATATTTATTTTTAAATGTTGAACATCTTAGCAGGCTACATGCATCTATCAGCTGTAGCAGTAAGGACGTTGACGGTTGCCATGGCAACTTGCTGTTGATTCAGGGACTCTGCTGATGATTGAGAAGCCTGTTGTCAAGCTGAAGTGACGCGCTCTCCTTGGTTTCTGCCAACTGCGCATGCGCGTCAGTGGTTTACCATCATGGAGGCGTCGTTACAAAAAATATGAGCAAATAAACGGCGTTTAAAAGACGTGAGAAGTAAAGAAACACGGAGGAGAAGATGCATAGCGACAAGGTAAGTGTTTTGTATGTGTTCTGCCTTTAGGTTGGGAGTTTGTTCATATCCGGGGTCTTTCTTAGGGCCTGAAGGGCTCACGGGGTCACTTTGATGTAAAAGAAGAATATCTTTGTTTTTGTTCTCCTGAACGTTGATGTCGTCATCATGTGAACATTAAAAAACACTTGTTTATCTAGAAGGAGGACACATGGAGACCAGCTGACCTGAGAAAACACATCAGGGTAAGTGACTGACACTTCAACACTTCACCATCAGATTAATCCAAAAACACGAACAGAGTAAAATGAAAGAGTAAGAACAACACAAGCAGAGAGCTAACCAAACTATCAGCTTTAAGTCTCAGACCGATTTATCAGCCAGCCGATATGATCATCTCCAGTGACGACAGTATCAGATATTCACTGATGCATACAAACATCCACTAGTCATATATCATTTAAACTGACACATGTTAAGTTTACTAATGATCCCTGCATCATGTTCACTTCATCTACTCTCCGTTATACTGAATAGTTTCTGATGATAACATGTCTGCACTCTGCACTTTAACTTCTGTCAATACTGTCCATTTACAACTCTGTTTTTACACATTTACATTTAATCTTTCATATTTAAGACGAGTAATGTTTAGTTAAATCCTGGTTGTATATATTCTCATTCTTACTTTTTATATTTTTATTACTTATTTACTTTGTATTTAATATTATATTGTGTTTATTTACTAATATTGTGTGTTTGGACAACCTGCTGCTGTAACGCCACAATTTCCCAGTTTGGGATCAATAAAGTAATTCTGTTCTATTCTATTCTATTCTGTTCTATTCTATTCTATTCTATTCTATTCTATATTTGAGTTTCAGTTCTCTGTCACCAGCAGAGGGCGCTGTGTGGCTCACTACATGTTCAGTTACTTAACTTTGAGGGATCAACACATTGTGTATGTTTATCTACCTCTCCAGATCGAACATGATTATCAGAAAGAGTTAGAGGCTCGGTCCCTACAGACTGAGCCAGTGGGAGCCAGAGGAGGGAGATCAGAGCTGTGGCAGAAGGCTGTGAATCTGTCTTTATTGATATGGAAAGATACAGTTATATATAATATATATATATATATATAAGTTATATTTATTATTCTCCTTTTCTCTTTTTTTTAGGAGGAAGGACATGGCAATGATCACGTCAGAAGGCGAGAAGATTCTGAGAGAAAGCGCCGCGGAGGGGAATCAACAGATCGACGGCACAGAGACCCAGAGAAGGAGCCAAAAGGAGAGAGAGACCAGCACCGGGAGAGAGAGAGCACAAGGGCAAGAGGAGATCAGGGGGAAAAAGACAGATATGCAGATCGACGTAAAGAGGGTTCACGGGATAGGAGAGAAGAAAGGGAGAGGGAGAAGAGGAGGGAAAGAGAGAAGCTGGCAGAAGAAAAGAGGAAAGATGAGAACAGAGAGAAGAGACGAGACAGAGAGGAGAAGCATGACAGAGACAAGGAAAGAGTCAGAGACAAAGAGGAGAGAGCGGGACAAAACTACGAGGAAAGGGAGAAGAGGAGGGAGAGGAGGAGACTCAAGGATGCAAGAGAAGGAGAGGAGACGTGTGAACAAGAGAAGAGAAAGCAACATGAAGAGAGACAGAGACACAAAGAAGAACATGAAGAGAGACAGAGACACAAAGAAGAACATGAAGAGAGACAGAGACACAAAGAAGAACATGAAGAGAGACGAGAGAAACACAGGAAGCGTTCAGAGCTGAAAGAGGCCAGAGGTGAGAGAGCAGCACGATGTGCTTTCAGCCAGCTGTTATTTAAAATAACTTCTATTCATGTGTGTCTGATCTCAGAACCCAGAGAAGAGCACAGGAGACACCAAGAGGAGAGAGAAAGGAGACAAGGAGAGAGGAGACATCAGGTAGGCCTCTTACTGCAGACTTCACTCTCACAGACTCTCAAGGACTTTAAGTGTGTTAAAGTCCTTTGGTCACGTTGTTGTTCTCCAGGATGAAAAGCGAAAGTACAACGGTGAATCCAGGGAACATGGAGGCCCGAGGGCGTCCGGTGAAGAGGTCAGGCATCACGGCGGTGACAGAGAGCGAGCAGAACGGGACAAAGACAGAGAGAGACGACGGCATCGAGAGAGAGCGGAGGAAGAAGAAGAACGGGAAAGAAATCCTCACAGAGACAGGACCGAGAAATCTGAGAAAACAGAGGTTTGTAGGTCTAAAAAGTCAAAGTTTATCCTGAAGATCTTTATGTTTTTCTTTTTCATGGTGTCCTAACGGATCATATTTCTTTACTTTTTTGAAGCCAAAATCTTTTCATGAAAATGTTCAACTTTTTTGAAGCCAACATTTGTTTTTTGGGATGTGATCCAGGATGTAGCACCTGTAGAGAAACATGCAGGAGACACAGAGGAGCCTGTAAACGACATGAACACAAGGCTACTTTTCATTTTCTTGCATGAAAGCATATATACATATATATATATATGTATATACTGTATAAATGCTTGTTTCAGTATTTAAGATGTTCTCCTCTTCTTGTATGTTCG